TGCACGCCTATAATCCTGGCACTTTGGAGGCTGAGGCAAAAGGATCCCCAAGAATTTGAGGCCAGCCTAGGGTACACAGTGAGTTTAAGGCCAACCTAAACATAGGGGACCCTGTCTCAAAAAACAAAATAAACAAAAAAATACAAGTAATACAGATGAACCAGATCAGTAGTTTTCAAATTTGTTGATCTCAGGACCACATGGAGTATTTTATGTGATCCATATTTGTAATAGTTATCTATCATTAAATATGTAAGTGGAGGCATTTAAAAATATTAATTTATTTTAAAAATCTACTATGTGAATAAACATAACATTTATCTTAAAATATTAACTATTTTTCAAAAAATAATGAAGAGAGTGGCATTGTTTCACCTTTTTGCAAATCTCTTTAATGTGTGGTTTAACAGAAGACAGATGGATCCCCTTAACTGCTGCTCATTCACTCAATTATGCCAACATGTATCATGGAGCCTCTGCACCATGCTGGTACAATGTATAGGTAAAAAGGCAAATAATACTATTATGAAAATCATTTTGACCTTATGGACCTCCTACAAGAATGTTAAGAGATCTCCAGAAATCCCTGGTGCAGTCTTTGAAAACTAATGAACTAGATCCACACAGAACATGGAGAAATTCCAAAAACACGTTGTTCAGTGAAAATGGATAAAATGACACCCACAGCATACCATTTAAACATACAAAGCAATATCTGATCTTGCTTTGGTATATACATATTAGGACAGTGGTTACTTCTGGCAAAGAAAGGAGTAATTTTGAAACATTTCATAAAGCCTAATGGCTGTATGCTTCAAGGCCATGCGGTTTCACTGAAGTATATGTCCCTTTGAATAAAACACCATTTTAAGACACCTGGGTTTTATAAAATATTACTTGGAAAAACAATCTGACAGGAATAAGAACAGGCTGACCATATTCCAAATCAGATAAGCGGTGAGGATAGGGGTTATTCAGTGCCTGGGTTTGATCTGGTGCCCTAACAAGACAGCTATGCCTTAATATGAATACTCATGGTCAAAGAACACACTGATTAAATAACTGACTGAATAGTTTCCAACGACATAAAATTTTCTGCACCCAGTAACTGAGATTGTCTTTGAGGTCACATGCCAGGTACTGTCTGTGTACAAAGTGAAAACCTGTCTCCATATTCAGTTTAGAAAAGACAAAAGTATAAATACTGTACATAGTCAAAATATTACTGGTTAAATGCTAAATTAAAGATGTCTACTCTGCTTTACAGGACAGAGAGGTAAGAATGAGAGTTACAAAATGATGGTGCCATTAACTGAAAGAAAATAGAAGACAGGAGTTATCTTAGGGGCTCTGGATTTTTTTTTTATGTTGGCCCAACAAGTTGAGGCTTTGGGGGGGGGTGCCAGGGATTGAACTTGGGTCCTTATGCTTGTGAAGCAGGCACCAGAACCACTGCGCTAAATCCGTGGCCCTGGATTTTTTTTTTTTTAATGATACAATTGTGCTGGGAATTTACAATGTCCAGAAACATTTGGCTTCAGCCATATTGAGTACTTTAGACACCTAGGTGGTTACCACAAATGCCAAATGAGAAACTAGAAAAGAGGGTGGGCATGGTAAGGGACACCAAACTAAGGGAGAAGATTCCAGGGGAAAAAAAAGAGAACTGACCTTGAGGGATAACCCACCACGGAAGACAAAGAAGGCACAGGGTTTGTGAAACACAGAACGCTTTTATGACACTCCCATTGATATGCTGTGCAAGTTTTCCGACTTGGGAAAAACTGGATTTAGGAAGAAGTGAGCTAAAAAAGCAAAACAAAACTGCAACAACAACAGCAACAGCACTGATGAAGGAAAGATAAGCCAGGTGGTTTTTGTAAAATAAGCAGACATCAGACTGTTCCTAAGGCTCCAGCAGAGCAAGAGCTTAATAACACACACCCCACCAGAGGCAGGTCAAGGCCATTTTCCTGCAGCAGGAGGAACAGAAGGGCTACATAGGGAGAGGAGAGGAACTACGTAGCAGGGAGGGAAACTCAACTCTTTACACCATTCAGCCTTTTCAGTTAAGAAAAGACTGGGTGACCTGAGGTAAGGAATCTAAGAGCCAGTTGAGTTTATAAGAAAACGAATTGCAATTACCAGTGGCCACAAACACAGGATTATCAAATACAAGATTATCAGTGACAATACACAACTAAATGGACTTGAAGCCAGGCATGGTGGAACACTCCTGTCACCAAAAAGCAACATGGAAAAAAACTTTTGTAAAGCATCCACGAGCATGTTTTTTGAAAAAGAAAACTGGTATCCATCTAAAAAAGGGGGTCGGGGATTTGGCTCAGTGGTTCTGCTGCCTGTCTTGCAAGCACAAGGACCAGAGTTCAATCACCGGTACCAAAAAAAAACAAAAAACAAAAAAAACACGCTGCTATCACCCCTTTTCCTCATGATAGCCCACCCTCCTTTCTCCAGGGTGTCCTTTTTTTTCCCACTTTTACTTGACCCAAGTTCAGCCTGCAGAGCCAGTTTCTCCCGTACTCTTCACTTTTACTTTCCTGAATAAACTTGGCCACTGCTTTTTGAAACACACACACACACACACACACATACAAAACACACACACAAAACACACACAATCCATCCAGTAGTCCAGATTTCGGGGTGGGAAGGCTGTAAGTACTGACGATTAAACCCAGGGCCTTCACGTTGAGCTATAACCCCATCCCTTTTTATTTTCAAACAGGGTTTCATCAAGTTGCTGAGACTGGGCTCAAACTTGCAATCTTGCCTCAGCCTCCCAGGGGATGACAGATGTCTATACCATACCTGGCTTTATTCAACCATTTCTAATGGGAACTAAACTATATGCTTACCCATCTTAATTATACAACTAGAGTCTAAACTTAATCTTGAACATCCATGCTGGTGTACTGCCTAGCTTCAAACAGAAGTGGTTCTTCAAAGTTTGTTTTAAGAAGAGCATCTTTATAGCTCTTCTATATCTTTCTCAGCTGTTAAAATATAAAAACAACTATGTTTACCCTTACAGCCTGAACAAGCACAAAAGAGCCTTAGCAACTTGCTTCTAGTCGGCCTCATGCGAGCCCTGTTTCTAAGGGTTTTCTAACCATGGATAAACAGGGTCCCTTCACTCCTTTCTTGGAGCATTACTATGACCTGTTGTAGTCTAGAAAAATAGAAAAATCGAAAGTGAAATGCCTATGCTACCTCTGCATCGCAAAGTTCTAATAAACACTGCCCACATGGGCCTCTATATGAGTCAAAGATCAATCAAAACCAGAGCAGGAAGGCAAGGCTTAGCAAACAGCTTTAGTCACCCTCCCAAACCGTAGTTACTTTCACCAGAGGGAAGAACACAACCTGCAAAAGGGCACCTGAAGGCCATTGTCCTTTTTTTCCCCCTTTTGAGACAGGATTTTGCTGCATTGCTCAGGCAGACTTTGAACTTGGAATTCTCACACTCTAGTCTCCCAAACCACTGGAATTACAAGCACTTATGAGCCTCTGCACTTGGCCCAATATCCTTTTAATAGTCACTCTTGCAACCTACTTTTCCAAACTGACTTCTAGCTAGGTGCCACTGTAATCCCCGCTGAGGCAGAGGCAGAAGGATCTCAGTTGAAGGCTAGCCTGATCAACTTAGCGAGCACTTGTTTCAAAATTAAAAAGGTTAGCGATGTCACTCAGTAGTGGAGCGTCTCTGAATTTGATCCCCAGCACCACAAACACACACACACACACACACATACGCACACGCACACACACCTGGCCTCTCGAAAAATTACCATAGGAACACTTACAGGTTCATTTGTTATTTTAGTCAAGTAACCTGCATATGACACTAGTCCTGTAATTTTAACCAAGGCAAATGAAATGTTAGATACCCCTTTGTTACTGTAGAAACTATAACTGAGCAAAAGGTTATTTGGGGTAGAAATTATTTTTTTTAAAGCAACTAATAGAGATCGATCATTCGAAAATAGCAAAATCTGCTTAATTTCTGAACATTCCTGGAACCAACCGTCCTAGTAATTAAATCACTGATCTTAATACTCGCATTAGTTCTCAATTTTGCAATTTGCCCTAGTCCCACGGATCTAAGCGACTAAAGCACAGCTCTGGTGGTGTCATCCCTCTGCTAGTTGAGGGCTCCCCTGCTGCCTCCCCAACTGAGCATAAGTCCTTCCACCTGGCAAGTGAGGGCTTCCGCACTACCTTTTCTAGTCTGAAATCCTACCACTCCACTATCCATACCATTCACTCCAGCCGAACTGTAAATACTTGCTGTTTTCTCAAGAAGCTTCAACCTTGAAACGCCCTTTCCTCACCACCACCACCTAGAAGTCCTACCTTTGTAACCTCAAATGTCACCTACTTCAGGAACCCTTTCCTGATACTCCAAATGTACCCCTTTTCTGAAACCCCAGCAATAGGATATCCCTTTCCCACAGTGCTTAGTACCAGTTCACCTGTCTCATCTGCCGTGTACCAGACACTGTATACAAAAACCTCCTCTCTTTCTCAGCTTCTAGCACACCATCGCCGACACTAGGCTCCGAGTTCACTAGGAAAGTTGTATGGTGTGCAGCAGAAAGTACTTCGGGAAATGAACTCTGAGGTAAAACTTCACAAGTAAAATTTAAAATTCTAAACAACATGACAGATAAACACAATGTCCTTCATTGAGAAAATAACGTTCTGCCCGTCCATCATTCCTCAAAAAACTATTTTAAAAAACCACTACTAGCTTGAATGCAGCTTTTCAAGAAAGTTTCTTCCACATAAATGAATACTTAAGATTCCTTCAAATTTTTATTCTTTCGCTTTCATGTTGTGCATTTTTTCCCTATTGATCCAAAGAGTAGTGAGAACTTTTCCATCAATTTTATTTCATTATTCAAATAGTATACGAAACAACGATTAGCGGAGGACAACCGCATCGAGGGTAGCCTATCAGACACATATGACTTTACCTAAGCAAAATTAAAATTTCCTGGGGTCCTACTGCTGCCACCCGCGCCGAACGCCCTCAGCTGGCTACAGCGCCAAGGAAAGGTTCAGGGCAGGATGAAGAGGCGAGATGGCTTCCAGCGCCCAGACGGCGGCGATGGCCGCCTGCGGCAGCTCAGCTGAAATGCAGCGGAAACAGCACAGCAGTCACGGGGCTGCGGAAGGCAGGGTAGGAAGGTGGCGCTGCCGCGGAGCGCCTGGAACC